TACACAATAGGGAAAAACAAAGTTTTCCCCCAAAAGTCAGGAACAAGATAAGGATGTCCGCTTTCACCACTTTTATTCAACATAGTACCAGAAATCCAAGCCATGGAAATCAGACAACAAAAAGAAATAAAAAGGCATCTAAATGAGTAAGAAAGAAGTAAAACTTTCACTATTTGCAGATGATATGATACCGTATATAGAAAACCCTAAAGACTCCACCAAAAAACTACTAGAACTGATAAATGAATGCACTAATAATGAAGCAGCAGAAAGAGAAATTAAGAAAACAATCTCATTTTCTTTTTTTAAATGTTTATTTTTGAGGGACAGAGACAGAATGAGAGTAGGTTAGAGGCAGAGACAGAGGGAGACACAGAACCCAAAGCAGGCTCCAGGCTCCGAGCTGTCAGCACACAGCCCAACAAGGGGCTCAAACTCACGAGCTGTGAGATCATGACCTGAGCCAGTCAGTCACTCAACCGACTGAACCACCCAGGCACCCCAACAATCTCATTTTCAATTGCACGAAAAATGACAAGATAACTAGGAATAAACCTAACCAGGAGGTAAAAGACTTGTACTCTGAACACTATAAGACACTGATGAAAGAGGCTGAAGATACAGAGTGGCTAAAATTAGCAACTCAGGAAACAACAGATGCTGGTGAGGATGTGGAGAAATGGGAACCCTCTTGCACTGTTGGTGGGAATGCAAACTGGTGCAGCTGCTCTGGAAAACTTTGGGGAGGTTCCTCACCTCAAAAAATTAAAAATAGAACTACCCTATGACCCAGCAATGGAACTACTAGGAATTTATCCAAAGGATAAAGGAGTGCTGATTCATAGGGGCACATGTACCCCAATGTTTATAGCAGCACTTTCAACAATAGGCTAATGTACATCAACTGATGAATGAATAAAGAAGATGTGGTTCATATATACAGTGGAATACTACTTGGAATTGAGAAATAATGAAATCATGCCATTTGCAGCAATGTGGATGGAACTGGAAGGTATTATGCTGAGTGAAATAAGTCAGAGAAAGACAGATATCATATGTTTTCACTCATATATGGATCTTGAGAAACTTAACAGAAGACCATGGAGAAAGGGGAGGGGAAAAATAGTTACAAACAGAGAGGGAGGTAAGCAAACCATAAGAGACTCTTAAATACAGAGAACAAATTAAGGGGTGATGGGGGGGTGAGGGGAAAATGGGTGATGGGCATTGAGGAGGGCATTTGTTGGGATGAGCACTGGGTGTTGTATGTAAGCGATGAACCACGGGAATCTACCCCAAAAACCTAGAGCACACTTTGGATACTGTATGTTAGCCAATTTAACAATAAATTATATTTTTAAAAAGAGGTTGAAGATAACACAAAGAAATGAAAAGACATTCCATGCTTACAGATTGAAAGAACAAATATCGTTAAAATGTCCACACTACCCAAAGCAATCTACAGATTTAATGTAATCCCTGTTGAAATACCACTAGCATCTTTCACAGAACTAAAAAAGTCTTAAAATGTGTATGGAACCACAAAAGACCTCGAGTAGCCAAAGTAATCTTGAAAAAGAAAAGCAAAGCTGAGGTATCACAATTCCAGATTCCAAGTTATATTACAAAGCTTAGTAACCAAAACAGTATGGTACTGACACAAAAACAGACACATAGATCAATAGAACAGAACAGAAAACCCAGAAACAAACCCACAATTATATGGTCAATTAATCTTTGACAGAGCTGGAAAGAATATCCAATGGGAAAAATACAGTCTCTTTAACAAATGGTGTTGGGAAAACTGAAAGTTACATGCAAAAAATGAAACTGGTCCACTTTCTTATACCATACGCAAAAATAAACTCAAAATGAATTAAATACTTAAGTGTGAGACCTGAAACCATAAAAAATCCTAGCAGACAGCACAGGCAGTAATTTTTCTGACATTGGCCATAGCAATGTATATGTCTCCTGAGGCAAGGGAAATAAAAGCAAAATTAAACTATTGGAACTATATCAAAATAAAAACCTTCTGCACAGCAAAGGAAACAATCAACAAAACTGAAAGATAACCTACTGAATGGGATAAGATATTTCCAAGTGGCATATCCAGTAAAGGGTTAGTATCCAAAATGTATAAAATACTGATAAAAATGAACACCCCAAACACAAATAATCCAACTAAAAAATGGGCAGAAGACATGAGCAGATATTTTTCCAAAGAAGATTTACATTTGGCCAACAGACCCATGAAAAGATGCTCAGCATCACTCATCATCAGGGAGATGCAGATCAAAATTACAATGAAATATGGCCTCACACCTGTCAGAATGGCTAAAATCAAAACCACAAGCAGCACAACAGTATGGAGGTTCCTCAAAAAATTATAGATAAGACTACTCTATGATCCAGTAATCACATTACTAGGTATTTACCCCCAAGATAGAGAAACACTAACTTAAAGGGGTATCTGCACCCCTATGTTTATTGCAGCATTATTTACAAAATAAGGAAGCAGCCCAAGTGTCCATTGATAGTTGAATGGATAAAGAAGATGTGGTATATTTACAATGGGATATTATTCAGCCATAAAAAGGAATGAAATTTTGTCATTTGCAACAACACAGATGGAGATAGAAAGGATATTGCTAAGTGAAATAAGTCAGAGTAAGACAAATGCAATGTAATTTTACTCACACATAGAATTAAAGAAACAAAACAAAAGAGCAAAGGGAAAAAAAGCCAAACCAAGAAACAGTCTTGACTCTGGAGTGCTGATGGTTACCAGAGGGAAATAGAGAAAGTACCCAAATAAGCAGTATAAATCCAAGATGCTAAATTATGCCCCTATTCAAATTACAATATTGGTATTTAAGTTCTTTTTCTCTTCGAAAATATGTTTTTGACAATAGTTTGTAATGACAGCAGAGTCTCTTATGTGTCAGAGACCATACCGTAAAAAACCAGAGAAAGTGACACTCAATTTAGGATATCTTTCAATGTAATTGTCCCAGTGCCAACCTGGTAGATTTAAGCTAAGTTACTTTGGAAAGTAGTCCCAGGCATGACTATAGTCAGGAAATCATTCTACAATTTGTAAATATTGCTGTAAGGCAAAATGTGGAAGTGGGAATAAATTGAATTTAAAGACACAATCATGCCTTGTGTGTGTGTATAAGGGAGGGAGACAGAATGAGAGGGGGAGAGAGAGAGAGAGAAGCTTGCTCTGATCCACAGAGCACACAAGAGGAAGTCTTCTGATTTTCAGAATAGACCAGAGGCAGAATGAAATCTAAATCTGGCAAGCTACTTTCTACACTGTCTCCATCTGATGAGTTTGCAAATCTCCAGTGGAAAAAAATCCCTCTATGATTCCATTCATATAGCTTTAGGGCATCATGTCTATAAGCACTGTAATTGTTTGACCTTCATGAACAAAGGGGTGGTTTTAATTCTTTGCAAAGCTGTAGTTTGTGCAGCTGTGGACACTCCTTCAACATTTTGGGAGAAGGTACTGAACATATTTAAAATAACACAAGATTCTTATTCACTTTCTCGGTCGGCCAAAGTTGGTGGTTTCCTAAATGCTATATGAAACCACATGAGATTTCTCCTGGTGGTCTAAAAAACTGGTGTTCCTTCAAATATGATACTTTTTACATATTCACTTATTCTGTATTTTGGAGGCAGAAAGTTAAATTCATAAAAAATAATTTTACTTTGTTTAAAATGAGAAATTCATAATTTTTACATAAGCAACTGAATAAGAGGCATATAAATCCATATTCATTTAGAAAACAAATTACTAATTGTAGGTGAACAGCATTTTGTTACATGTCATTCAGTTTTAGAATTTCTGCTCACTTTTTTTATATTCCTGGTGAAGCTCAGACACCTGAGATTACACCATGAAACCTACACTTAAATGAGGCAAAAACATTTAACATAGCTAGGGAATTCAAACAAGAGGTGCTTTAAAAATTTCTGCTGAGGCTATTCCCTACTTTGGGGTATAAGGAAAATTTGACATTTCACCAGTTATCGCAGAAGGACTCTAAAGTGGAAATCCAAGTAAACTGGTACCATAGCTCTAGTCCATCACTGTGATAATTTTATACCTATTCATGGATTGGTAATCAGGACAGCCAGTAGCTCCCTGCCCTTTAACCTGGTTTGGTGTTTTTATAAAACAGACAAACATAATAAGGCTTGGCTCTTGCCTATCAAGTCCTTTTTTCCATTGTACTTTATCCTAGGAAGAGTAGCTGGCTTCAAAGATTTAATTTTTCCAGATCTCTCTAGCTGATGCTTTCAGTCCTCCTCCTGCATCCTTGGCCCTTACATTTCAGTATACATGCTGGAATCCCAAATTACAGAGACTGCACCTTGGCCAGAGGACTTGCTCTGAAGCTTGATTTGCCTGTGCAAGAGGGAAACTGGAAGTACTTGGGAATGAGTATTCCCCTGGAGCAGCCTTCAACCAATGACTGATGGGAGTTAGTGTTCAATATGCCAGCTCCTGCTACCTTTGAGGAAGCTAATCCTAAAGCACGTGTTCTACACTGTCTCCCAGAGTTCTCCAGTTAGAACTGAGCCCCAGTTGTCCACAATCACTTGCTTGATAAAGCATCCTTATTGGCTGCCTTGCATTGCTAGTCTCACTGTTCCTCACTCCTCTATCAGTGCTTCCTGAAATCTCCTCTGGTACAATTTACTTTTAAATATTTGTCTCAGAGCCCTCTTCTGGGGGAGTTCTGGAGAATTTTTAATAGAAACAGCTTCAACCTGACTTCCCTCCAACCCCCCAAATAACTAAGTCACCTCCTATCTCCTGTTATTGAAGGTCTAAATCTCTACTTTGGGGCATATTTTCTAGGCTTTTGTTTGGGGCATACCATTACTTTGGAAAATCTGCCAGAAAACAAAATATACATAGAACATCTTCCAGCATATGTGTGTGTGTGTGTGTTTGTGTGTGTGTGTGTAATTACACTCACCTGAACTTCGTTGTGCTTAATGAGCACTTGCTTCATACTGAAACTCTGGTCAGCAGCCAGCTGAAGCCTGGCTCATATAGTCCTTAGAGCTGTGCAGTTCAGCAGGTCTGAAAAATGAAGTTCAGTCTTGAAATTAAAATGTTGCAAGGATAATTTCTGACATTAAGCTTTTCAGATAATTGGCCTGCATAGAATAAAAAGATCATTCATCTTCTATCTTTCCTTTTACTCTAAGCAATGTAAGGACTTAAGCAAATTAAGTTTAATGCAGTTTACAGAGGCCCAAGTCAGTGTTCACCAAATAAAAATCACTTGTGAAACTTTCTTAAAATATTTTTTTTTTCTAAATTCCATCTTGAGTCTACAGAATCAGAACTTCTGGAATTGAGGAATTTACCTTTTACAATCCCCCTCTAAAATAATGTGTATAAGCTCTCAAACATTGGCTTGGTGCTGGATAAGTTTTGTGTTTTGTTTTTGTTTTTTTCACTTTTCCTTTCTTCTAATCTCATAGTTAAGTTGAATCAGATTGCCCCATTCTTTTGACAATCTAAAGGAAACATATTTTCATGTACACCCTGAAGAACAGTATTTACTTAAGCCTAGGCTTAACACAAAATAATAAACTTAATAATATGTCCAAATTCCTATAATAAAAATGAAACAATAAATGCATAGAAATATGAGGAAGAAATTACACCCATTAAATGCATCTAGCCTGATGAGTGATAGGATGGCTGCCTATTCAAGCTGGAAATTTTACACATGATCGAGGCTTTATTTAGTCTAATGGAATGTGCTTCCTGAATTTGGCTGTGACTAAGCCAGAGCACAATAGCAAGTATTATGTGATTGGCCTGAGCTCATTCCCATCTCTAAGTCACTGTGATTCAGTCTTGACTGCCTCTTTCTCTCAGGTAGCCCATAACCCTGCTGTTCCTCTCGGGTTTAAAAATTTATTCAGGATATTATAGAAACAGACTTGTCAGCCTTTATGCAACATGGGTTCATCTTTGTAGTCTTTTCTCTTAAAACTTCAGAAATCATTGTGAAGGTTTAGCCTTGTTCTACAGTGCAAGAAAGACAAGCTCAGTGATCTGTGGAAACAAAATTCACAGCAAATGTTACCAGTGGCCAAGATTTATGAGCCTGTCTCACTGCTAGATAATCACATGGGTGGACTAGTGCCATACTTATTGCACCAGCCAAGTAGAGATAACCCGAAAATAGTTTTTTTGGGAGAATTTAATATTTGAAATTTCCAAGAACGATATTATTCTTAGAAGTTTGAGAACACTGATACATATCCTTACATTTGTCTTTAAATTAAGAGAGGTAGGGGTGTACCAAACTCCTATTTGGAATTTGTGGCTTCTGAACATTCTTAATCCAAACTTTTCCTTTTCTCATATGTTTCTTAGCCACTGAGCATAAACCCATAAATGATAGCATCAGATGTTCATAATGTCCATATAACCCAGAAAAATTTTGTTATTCCATAGTCACCTTGGGTTGTCCATGCAAGCGTCCATGCTGATACTTAAATCTCAAACTGTTTTGACAGTCTGAATTGAGCACATGGGAGACCTTGATTTTAGGGGATATGTACTCCAGTCCCAAACAATCTCTCAAGGGTGATACATTTTTCATGTAGGTGTTTAAAGTTATGATTGGCCAGAGGTGTTGAGAAGTGGCCATCTACTGTAGCCCTTCAAGCTTCCCAGGAAAGTGGCAAACTTCCTTGCTTTTGTAACATTCTCAAGCTCAGGTCAGGTCTTGCCTTTCTAAGACCTCTCTTTATGTACTGTGTCTGTGTGCTGTCACCACACAGTAAGGAGATATTTGACCCTTATCATCAATCAAAGAAAATCCCATGTTTCTCTTGTCATTTTCTTCAGAGATTCAGTGTTTACTCATTCTGGACCACTGGCCTATGAATTCTAGGAAGTGTGCAGTTATCAGATAGTAATCTAGAATTCATACTGACCAGAAAAGACATAGTTTATTACAACTTAAACCACATCTCAAGTTTCCCCTCCTCTAGAGTCTAGAGTGAAGGCACGATATCTTCAGGCAATATCCCTGATAGAAACATTAGATGCTCATTCTGGATCTCCAGCAATATAATCCCAAGCATGTCAGCCTTGCTGACAGCATTTTTTGCATTCTTTACATTACGGAACTTATATGGTTAGTCCAGGCTGACTTCCATCTATTTCCTACTTGTGGTCCTGGACCTTTTCCACTTCATTGCCACATTACTAAGTTAAGGGTAAGAGAAGGAAGACTCCTTCCTCTAGTATGGCAGTGTTATCATATTGATCAGGTCCCTGACAGATTTGATGACTTAATTTCATTTAAATTCTTTTAGTATAGCCACTCACATTTGACTCATGTTTCCATTTCTTAGGGTCACTCGTTGTGAATGTAGGTTAGGTTCTCTTAGAGACAGTTCTAGAGATTATATAAGTAAAACTATACAGTTGAACACATCAAATATTTCCTTACTGCTTAAAATCCTTGGACTAAGCTCAGTTCCTCCTGAATCTAGATAGGGCAGCAAAAATGGGGAAGGATACCAACTGACTGAAAAAAACCCACGCACCAAGCAACCAATTTGCTGAAAGCCAACTTGCCTGCCATATGCATATGCACATTGATCATTTGAGAAATCTTGGGCTCTTAAGGTGAGAAGTTATTTTTGTTTTATCTAGTATCATCTGTGAATTGCTACCAAATCTAGGTAATTTCGTTGTACTTTTTTACAAAGTATAATAGTAATATTTATTACTTATTATATCATTATTCATATCATCACTTGTTTTTTACTAATTTGCCATTGTGATGTGATCTGTATATCATAAAAAATAAAGAGAAAATACATACATACATACATACATGCATACAAGAAATGGTAAGGAAAAGTCAGTGTTCCAAAGTGAAGAATAGGATACTATAGAATAACACATCACATACCACACACACACACCATTTTAAATCCAAGTCACTGACTTTCTACATATTTTTAATAGACACAGTTGAATGCAGATTTGGTATGGTACATTTTGGATTTATGACCTCTTATTTACTATTTTATATGCAGATGGAAGGTTGTATCAGTCAGCATTGCTGAGGTAACAAATACTCCCCATAATTCAGTGGCTTACAATCATAGACATTTTTATGCCTTGCTCGTATTTTATGTCAGCTGATTTGATATTGCTCTCCTCTGTCTTCTCACTCTGGAACCAAGGCTGAAGGAGAAGACCTTTTCAGCTGTGCCATGCTCAGAGAAAGTAAAGAAAATTAAAGCCGACCTTATAGCCTAATACTTCTGTTTATACATTATGAAATTTTACATTCCATTGAAGAAAGCAAGTCATATAACTAGGTCCCACATCAAGAAGTCAGGAAAGTGTATTTAGCTTTGGAAGAAACTGCGAAAGTTGTATCACTTTGCATCACATCACCAATGAATGAGAGTTCTGTTCGCTTCAGAATCTTGCCAGCATTCAAATAAATGTGTAGTGCTATCTCATTGTTATTTTTATTTACATTTTCCTGGTTGTCATTTTCATAATCTATCACATTCTACATAGCAATTGTTAATAAAAGTAATTTTTGATGAATGTATAATTTGAATGAATGGTCTTTTTGCAAGATAGTGTTTCAGTAGGCTTTCAGCAAATGGGCTATTCATCATGTGGCTGTTGACTAATTGAATCTGGGGAATATCTAAGGCCATAGGAGTCATATTTATGTTGCTTACTTTCACGTCATCAGCACCAGACACATATTAGGTGTTCAATAAATATTCCTTCTATGAAAGAATGGATAAGCTTAAATTCATCTCTACTCATCTCAGAGACAAGCCCTCTGAGAAAGAAAGTAGCCTTTTCTTTCTTTTTAAAATCTTATTCTCAATTCTCAACAGAAAGGTAGCCTTACATATTCCTTGTTCTCTCCATGGATACTATCGGCTCCCCTTTTTAAATCTGTAGCTCCGTAACATTTTGGAAAAGAAATATTTTGCCCCCAATTTTTTTTGAGCCCAATGAAAATACCAAATAATGTGACAAGAGACCCAGAATGGCATAGAAATGCTTCAGAACACTGCTCTGTTTCTTAGGTCTTTTTCTTTTATTCATGCTCCCCTGTTTCCCAGCCCTTGATGGCAACATTTGGAAAAATTGAAATGCTTGCCTAATCCCTACCCTCTTTTAGCCTCTTCAGCAGGTATCACAGCAATAGTTAACACTGATGTATAGGCTTATGTCCGGAAGTCTACATGAGAAATGAGTGACTCTAGCAAAGTTAACTGGGTTGCTAAAAACAAGGGAGAGAGACCTTTAGTTTTCAGATATAATCCTTGCTATTTTTTTTTTCTGTATGCATAAAAAGACAAATACCCCACATGTATTTTCTTGCTTTTCTGGTTGTTCAAGCCTAAAAATACATACTTCTAACATAAAATGAATTTTACCATTTATCCATGTGCACAACTGACTCAAATGTTTTTACTGAAGAAAATCATTAATTTGCTTTGTAAACTACTATTAAACTTGATTAAGAAGTCAGGTTTCAATTGTCATTTTAATAATTGCCCATTTTTAATTAAGGGTTTGAACCAGCTCGGCCTAAAGTGACTGCATTATCCACACAAGTGGAAGTATTTTTTAAGAAACAAACAACATAGGGGTGCTTGGGTGGCTCAGTTGGTTAAGCTTCCAACTTTGCTTCAGTCTGTGGGTTCAAGCCCCGTATCGGGCTCTGTGCTGACAGCTCTGAGCCTGGAGCCTGCTTCATTTTGTGTGTCTCTTTTTTTTTCCCCCCCCCCCCCCCCCCGCCCCCGCACCTTGCACTCTGTCTCTCTCTCTCTCTCTCAAAAATAAACATTTAAAAAAATTAAAAATAAAAAACAAACCATGTCAACAACAAAAACAATTATAAATGAGTGTGTTAAGCTCTGGAGGGAAGAAACTATTTTGATTAATTCTTCTCTGTGCAAAAATCTGTTAATTCTTCATAATAAAACTGTTTAGGTTTCCACCACTGTGGAATTACATGGAAACTCAAATGCTAAGCCATACTAGTACACTGGTCTTCATGAAGAATCCAGGGCACCTTCCTGGTCTTTCTCTTACCAGCTGAGAGTTGGAGGACAAGACTCACTCCCTCAATATCAGTTTCTCAATTTACAAATGAGAATGAAAGTGCTAGTTTCTTGGAGAGCTGAAATATGTTATTTTTATGGTGGAAAAACAATATGGCGGGGGGAGAGGGTTTCCCATTGTTTACTGATGACTGAGTATATAAGTAGAATATTCAGTCTGCTAGCTAATAATACAGACAACTCGGGGTAGCCTGAATCTAATAAACTCTGGCAGAGTATTTAACCAATATATTGTAGTTGGACTAAGGGAGACTGTAAATCCTTTAGTCTGAGGCTCAATGCAATCATGCTTACTGTGGTTCTGTGAATTTGCCTGCTGCCCTGGGAGAGTGATAATCAGTATTGCCCAGACCTATCCATCTAACATTAAATCCACCTATTTGACCAGTCATGCTAAGGCCATATCAGTCACTGGAAACTGTATTCTTAGACTGTGTTATTTCATTTGCTCTTTTAAAAAATCAGCATTTTCTATTATGCTAAATATCCCATTGGCTCCACAAAGCAATGTTTTATTTCAGGTGGAGGAAATATGTCCACCCAACTCTAGAGGACATTCTAATTATTTTTTTCCTTTAAATTTTAGGGGGGGGGAGTCGATTGTTTTATTATAACCAATTATTCAGCCCCCTCTTGTAGGAGAATCATAAATCTCTTATGTGTTGCCATGTGAACTTCAGGGACTTCCCTTGGAGGAACGACTTCCCTGGCTCAGTGATACCACTCTGCCTGTGTGACTTGCTTTCATCAGTGGAATGTGAGCGAAGTAACACATACCATGTCTGAAGTTTTGAGTCATGTACGATTCAACCGTCTTCATTTTCTTCTGCAATGAGAAAGATATGTAGCAAGGAAAGGCTGCTTCTTCTCCTTAGGTTCTGGGTTGAAGAATGTATGTGGAGCAGGGTCACAGTTAATGTGCAGCTACCACAACCTAAATATAAAATAAACAGGAAATAAAAATTTACAAACTTTTGTTGCTGGATTTCAGAAGCTGTTGGTTATTGCAGCATAATGTGGTAAATACTATCTTATATATCTGTAAGGATTCTGAACATAGTGGGAAAAAAAATCATCTCAGGAACTTACAATAGCCCAAATCCTCCCCAAGCCAAATTTCTTTTTCTTTTTATTACAAACATACAAGACATTTCCATTTCATGGAGCTTGCTCCTTTAAAATCTAGTACTTATGACACACAAACTGAGACTTTATTTTTATATATACCTTTTCTGTCTCGTATTTCATGCCAGGTGCTTACAAATATATTCCAAGTCTTCAAAATAAGAGTATAATGAGAAATTATCCTTGGATTCTGAGAAGGAAATCGGGGCTCAGAGGTTCACATTATATAGGCCACAAAGACACAGTATTTCAACCAATGCCATAGCCCCTATCCATGCACATTTTTAAAAATCACTTCTTAATCATCCTTCAAATTAAATATTTTTGAAAAAGCAGTTAGAATTGGTTAGAGAGAGATGTGATTCAACAGAGAAGACATAGTTACTCAACCAAAGTCCTCCCATGTCTTCCCCAGAGCTCCACTTGAGGGATAAATTGATCCTTAATGGTTTTTCTGTGACAGCCTCCTGGTAGTGTACTACTCTTCTCTACTTACCTTAGACATTGAATATTTTCTATGTTCCAGTGTAACTATGCAGATTTTAAGAACATGAATTAGATAACTACAGACAAAAATTTTAGCAGGATGGGATTTCCATTTAATATTTTCATTTCTGTTGCTTCTACTAACAAAAGTACTCATATTTTTTGGTAGATAAATTGAAAAATGCATAAAACCTTTAAAAATAAAATGAAAACATGCCATGATCCATTTCTCCAAATGTCACTTATATATCAACTAAAAACTGACATACACTTGGGGCGCCTGGGTGACTCAGTCAGTTGAGCATGCGACCCTTAATTTCAGCTCAGGTTATTATCCCAGGATTGTGGGATTGAGCCCTGCATCAGGCTCTGTGCTGAGCATGGAGCCTGCTTAGACTGATATTCTCTATCTCTATCTCTCCCCTCACCCCTCTCCCCCACTCGTGCTCTCTCTCCCTAAAATAAAACATAAAAAAACCTTTTTGACATACACCTAACAGTGATGCTACAGGTTTAAATTGACAGACTCATTTACTAAGTCATTTATTTAGCAGCTGCTATGTACTTGACTGAGCCTTTGGATATAGTGAACCCCATAGATAAGGATCTACACTTATATCACTTACATTCTATATGGAAGACAGACAGTGAACTGGTTTTTTAAAAAAAAGGACAATCAAAACTGTTAAATACTGGGATATAGGCTATAAAGAAAGTCATCAAGGCTAAGAAGATGGAGATGCCTACTTTGGGTAAAGTGGACAGTTGGAGAAGTAATAATTAAGTTGTAACTTAAAGGATGAAGGTAAGCCAGCCAAGCAAAGAACTAGGAAAAAATTACCTTAGAGAGAAGAGTGAGGAAAAAGTGTGGAGCCAGGAAAGGACAGGATCAGAAAGAAGGCCAGTGTGCTGAATGAACAAGGGTGAGATTGATCAGAGGTGGTGAAGAGATGGAGGAGAAAGTAGAATCTGTCTCAGGTAGAACCTTGAAGAATTCAATTAGAAGTGTGGATTATTTTTCAGAGAAAAGGACAGCCATCATAGTGATTTCATGACTAATGATTTAGCAAGCTCACTTCAGATTTTGTACAGCAAAATGCACTGAGAGAAGGGAGATGTAGACACTTCTAATTTGCCTAACATACTGTCAGTATTGATGACACAATTTCCATTCTGGGCGCTGGAAGTGTTCGAGGGACAGATACGTAGAGATATGAACTGTGAGATCCAAATGGTAAGCACTGGCTTGAGACATAAATTTGAAGAACCGATAATTTAAATCAGGGGTTAGCACACTACTGCATGTGGGCCAGATGTAGCCACTGTCTGTTTTGCATGGCCCCACCAGCTATGAATGCTTTCACAGACTTAAATTGTTGGGAAAAAAATCAACACAAGAAGAATATTTTAAGACACATGAAATTATAGGAAACTCAATTTGTAGTGTCCATAAATAAAGCTTTATTGGAACACAGCCACATTGATTCGTTGATGTATTATCTATGGCTGCTTTCATGCTATGACCGCAGAGTTGAGTAATTGTGACAGAGACCATATGGCCTGCAAAACCAAAAACATATACTATCTGGCTATTTACAGAAAATGTTTGCCTACCACTAATTTAGATATCAAACCTATGGGATTGGATGGTAGAAATCCTAGAAAGTTTTGCTTTGCCTTTGCATCCAGCTACCCAGATGTCCTAGAAGAATGTGGGAACCTGGAGAGAGGACCATCTATTCATTTGCCTGCTGTGAGTTCCACTTGTGGACTCTCTAAGGATGAAATAACATCAGAAGGGAATGATGAATTAGAAGAGCCAGACAGAGTTCCTGCATTGCAAGCTCCAAATTAACTGTACAGTGAACAGATTTGCAAAGTTAAAAAAAAAACACATGGGAAAAGGGCCTTCTGTTTATTTTTTCTCCTTATTAATTCACCACAACCACCATCAAGTGTCCCAGTTTTTGTCTGGGAAGAGAGGCTGGCAGGACCAGTGATCAAAAAGCAGCTGGAAAACCCCAAGAAATTATGGAATCCTCATAAAAGAATCAAAGGACAATGTTTTTTAAACCACTTGAAAAACTGAAGAGTCCATTCTGGTTATGTTATTGTGTTTTTCGTGATGTGTTAACAACTGTAATGAAGGACATGAGCAGTTGTGGACTGGAGTGGAATGTTGGCAATGAAATTCCAGGCTCCTAAATGACAGGATTCACAGGATTTTTTAGGGAAGCCCATGTTTAACGTGAAAATAATGCCCATGATGTATCTTAAGAATGCAGACAAATAATTATTTAGTAAAATTTCAAACAAATGAATGTTTATAATAAAGTACAAAACATATTACTTATTAAATACATTTATAATTATATTTTACTTGATATACACAAATTATATTTATTATGTAGTTTCTGTCTATGTCAGAAACAATGATAACATCTCTTTCTGGAGAGGTTTAACTAATAGAAGAGAGAAAAAAGGAGGTTTCAGTTACTTACTTCAGAATTCAAGCTTGAGAGTGAATGTCAAGGAAACCACTGAATCATTAAAAACAAACAAGCAAACAAAAAAGCCAAAATACCTCTTTACTTCAATACATCCACCAGGCATTTGAGTATAGGTAGTATTAGTGTTTTTGAAATATTGACTGTGACGTAAGAAGGTTAGAAGATGCCACATCCATTCATATTTTTTTCTAGAATTTTACTGCTTCTAATTATGGCGAACCAGCCTCATTCTACCAGTCATTCCTGCTTATGATGACATGTCAGCTTTTCATTTCCTGGTCACTTAAGTTAGCCATCTCTTTACTTACCTCTGATATTGCCAAAAACTACAGTGAGCAAAAACATTATCCCAGCCATTATATGTTGAACTATTATTATTAAAAAAATGGTATTTATGTATAAATAGTTCCAGGTGTAGAACTAAGTGTGTATATTAAACTTTTTGGAAACTTCCTTCCAGAAAATTTTATCATTAAGACAGACTCATAAAATTATTTTGTCATAATACATGTCACAATGTAATATCTGCTTATTTGTGCATATGTGCACATATTCATACACACATCAGCCACTGTAAATTTCTTAAGGCAGTTTGTGGACTGGCAGTTTGTAGACTGGGAATTTATTTATTAAATAAATAAATTTATTTAATAAATTATTCAATAAACGTTGGAAGAAAGGAATGGAAATACATGCATACATATATGGTAGTTTTGACCTAGACGAATTTAACATTCTAGTATTCATAACCATGTCATATTCTATTTAGAGGGCACCAGAACCTTGCATATGCCAAGTACCCAATAAATGGTGACTTAATGTGGAATAAAATCAGTACTGACATTTTTCTTTCAATCCTGAAGGGTATAGCATAACTTTCAATAAATACTAGGTTCTTTTCAGATGAAAATAATAGCATTTTATTAGTTTACAAAGTGCTCTTACACCCAATTTTTCATTTAATCATTATTGCCCCACAAACTAGATATTCCCACTTATATTTTAAGATCAGAGAATTCAGCACAGAGAAGTTATAGGACTTGCACAGGCTCATCACAAAATAAGTCACCATGTTAGAATCAAACCAAATCTTGGTCTCTTTGCACCATAAAATTTCTGTGTAGCCTTGATAAGGCAAAAGTCTCTCATTTACAAGCAGGGATGCTAATGGACAATTTGTATATAGTCACCATTTTAGATCAGCATTTATGGTATCTACACTTACAACCACCTCCTTTTTTATTTGTATGTTTAAGAGCTGGGTATTTGTCTTATAAAAATTCACTGAGGGGCGCCTGGGTGGCTCAGTCGGTTAAGTGTCCGACTTCGGCTCAGGTCATGATCTCACAGTCTGTGGGTTCGAGCCCCACATCAGGCTCTGTGCTGACAGCTCAGAGCCTGGAGCCTGCTTCTGATTCTGTGTCTCCCTCTCTCTCTGCCCCTCCCCCGTTCATGCTCTGTCTCTCTCTGTCGCAAAAATAAATAAAAACATTAAAAAAAAATTAAAAAAAAAATTCACTGAAATGAAAAACGTCTTCTGCACTGTATCTCAAATGATGTCAGGCTTAGATTCTTCGCTCTGCTGCCTCCTTAAGTCTTTGATGCAAACTCAAAGAAGTTCCCAAGTCCCAAAATGTCTCAAGTCACATCTTTACCCTTCCCATCTTGTGTAGAATTTGTCTGTAACATCAACTTATTCCACTGAAAGTTTTAATAAATTATTGTTTGCATTCATAATTTCATGCTTCCGTCATTTATCCTCATTTATTCTTCTCATGAGCTCCTTTAAAAAAATCTAGTTTAATTAGTTAAGAGATGATTTTTTTTCCATTTTGGTTTTAGTGTTTTGTTTCTGTCTGTTTTGTCTTTTTTGATATCACATTTCAGTGTTAGTCCTGTACAAATTTAAGTTTAAAAGGCATATGTGTACAAATATATAACCCCATACTTCTAAAGTTACAATTAACAAAAAGACTTTTAGGAAGAAGGTATAAAATGTCTTGATAAACTGAAGAAG